TTTATTATATTCATAATAATAGAATAATAAATCTTGAGAATCTATTCCAAGACTTTATTATTATATTCTTTTCCCAATTTTCATCCATATTATAATAATCATATTATTATTATTTTGGATTTGAAATTTAAAATCCTATTTTAAAATTCAACTTTATTAATTTAGTAATTACCTTAATTACTAAAGTAATATCCAAAATGTAATTAATCAATCTTATTGATTAATATATTCCTTTAATTGACATCTAATCAAATTAGATATTTATCAATTAATTCTAACCATTAGAAATACAATCTTTACCTTTGTTCATAATTAGTGTGACCTTTTAGGTTCACCTTAATACTAGTAGTGGGTTTATAACACTTTATAATTTGAGTTAAATCTTATTAACTCTTATTCATGAATTAACCCTTTAATTCATGAACCCACATATCATGGGAACACCTAGCAAGTAGCATGAATCTAGTATTAAGTGAATAGCGAGTAAACCTATTCCGATTACAACTCCATACATGTAAAATCCTTTCGACATCTAATTTCCCGATTAAGTCTTGGGTATGATTTTGTCGAAACCCAAATTGACTTAATAACTATGATTCTATTTCAAGTTTAGTAATTCATGTGTGAATCTCTATTCATCCTGCCTTGGCCAAGGACTTTGAATTACTAATTATGAAACACATAGGAAATTCTCGTATCTTCATACGTGTCGAATCCTTTGTTGGCCACTAACAAACTTCCATACATATTAACATAATACCCAAAATATCCCTTTATACGATAGTGCTAGCTACCAAAAGGATAAATCAAAGTAGAATGTAATATGCACAATGTTACCATTGTGCCTCAAGTCTAAGGATTAGTCATGTACTATTGTAACATGAAAATTCTTATTCGACTGAATAAATTCTTCATTAAGAATTTTCATACGGTCACGTTCAGTGAATGGAGGACAGTTCATGGGAAATAAAGGTTTAGGCAGAGGTAGAGGTGTTCAAAGAAGAACCAAAGAGGAGAAGGCAAAGTTAGTGTGTGAGTATTGTCGTGCACATGGACATGAGATGGCTGAATGTTTCAAACTACACGGTGTGTCTGAATGGTATCATAAATTCAAAGAACAACAGAGACCTCAGGGATATGCAAATGCAGCTGTTGATAAGACTGAAGTTCAATCCTCTTCCTCAGAGAGTAGTTCTCAAAATTCAGGAGCACTATCAGATCTTTCTTCAATTATTCAGCAAGAGTTGACAAAGTTCTTTGGCTCAAAGAGTACAAATGAGGTGAATGACACAGATTATGTTCACTTTGTGAACTCAGCAGGTATTAATTCTTCCACTCACTATGCTCTGAGTACAATTGAACGTATTGATAGTGGTTCTTAGGTTTTAGACACTGGTGCAAGCAAACATATGTGCATTGATTTAACTCTCATACATGATGTGAAACCTTTGTCTCCTGCCTGTCATGTTCATTTACCTAATGGAACTTCTTTCAAAGTTACACATGGTGGATCTGTTAGGTTAACCCCTACTATAACCCTTCTTGATGTGTTGTACATACCAGAATTTAAATACAATCTTTTATCAATACCGCAACTCACAGTCCAATGTCATATGGAGTGTATCTTTACACCAAACCTTTGTTTGTTACAGGACCTTAACACACATGCAACCTTAGCCATGGGAAAATTGGTGGGGAAGCTTTACCTTCTTCAGAATAATGCTCATCACATGTTACCTGCCCATAAAATCACTTGTTCTTCTGCCATTGATGATAGATCATTGTTTTTTGGGCATCAAGTATTAGGCCTTGCCTCCTTAAATGTACTTGAACATTTACAATTTCTGAAGCCACATTGTACTCAGACTGATGTTGATATGATAAGGAATTGTGAGTCTTGCTTTAAAGGAAAATTTCATAGATTTCTTTTCCCTATTTCACATATAAAGTCCACCTCTAATTTTGAGTTGCTGCATTTAGATATCTGGGGACCATGCAAAGAAACATCAATCTCAAACACACTATTCTTTCTTACCATTGTGGATGACCATAGTAGGGGGACTTGGGTATACTTGTTAAAACAAAAGAGTGAAGTTCCTGGTCTTATCATACAGTTTGTTCATATGATCATGACACAATTTAATGCCACAGTTAAATTCATCAGGACAGATAATGGCTTGGAATTTCTTAGCCAAACTTGCCAAACCTTTTTTTTCATACCTTGGGGATTATACATCAAACTACTTGTGTTCACACCCCACAACAAAATGGGGTGGTTGAGAGAAAACACAGACATATCCTAGATATAGCCAGGTCAATTATGTTCCACTCACATCTGCCTATTCATTTTTGGCCATACTCAATTTTATATGCCACTCATATCATTAACAGGTTACCTTCTTTTGTTTTGAAATGGAAAACCCCTTTTGAAATACTACATAATAAGCCACCAGATTATTCGAATCTTAAACCTTTTGGATGTTTATCCTATGCTGCCAATAATATACCCAACAAGTCCAAGTTTACACCAAGAGCACTTAAGTGCATTTTTTTGGGTTTCACTTCTGGAAAGAAAGGATTTCATTTATATGACATGTCCAACCATAAATTTCTTTTCTCCAGGGATGTGACCTTTATACCACATGAATTTCCATTTCAACAAATTGTTCAAGAAACTTCTGATTGTACTGTGCCTATACCCATTTCCCAAGATGATACTTGCACTTCACCCATTATTAGTTCATCTGCCTCAGCTCCTTTCCCAAAAGGACCAGGAGACCACCACCTTGGCTTAATGATTATGAAGTATACTCAATGCAAGATTCTCCAATACCTGTCTCTGACCCTCTTCTCAAACATGTTAGTTATAGTCATGCATTTTGTGAGTTTTTGCACCAAGTGTCTAGTATTAAAGAACCTACTTCATATACTGAAGCTTGTACCCAAGATCATTGGGTGGAGGCTATTAATGCTGAGCATGCAGCTCTTGAAACTAATAACACATGGGAGTTGGCTACTTTACCTAAAGGAAAGAAGGCAATAGGTTGTAAATGGGTCTTTAAGGTTAAAATGAAGATGGATGGGACCGTTGATAGGTATAAAGCACGGTTAGTTTCAAAGGGTTTTAACCAAATTTTTGGAGTTGATTACAATGGTAGTTTTTCTCCTGTGGTGAAGATGGTTATTGTTAGATATTTCATTGCCTTTGCCACTGTTAAAGGGTGGCCACTTATGCATTTTGATGTGAATAATGCATTTCTTCATGGTTATCTCCATGAGGAAGTCAACAGGAAGCCACCAGATGGCTATACTAAGGCAGCTCCTGGCCAAGTTTGTAGACTAAAAAACAGTTTGTATGGGCTTAAGCAAGCCTCTAGAGAGTGGAATCAGGAATTTACTTCTAAGTAGATTTCTTATGGGATGACACAGTCACCTTTTGACCACTGTCTGTTCATTCTTGCCAAAGGATCTTGTTTTCTGGCTGTTTTAGTTTATGTAGATGATTTATTAGTCACTGGTAGCACTTTGGAAGAAATTGTGGCTTTGCAATCTTATCTACATGATCTCTTTACCATTAAAGACTTGGGGGCTGCAAGATACTTTCTAGGCATGGAAATCACAAGGGGAAGTGATGGTATTTTTTTGAGTCAACATAAATACATCAAGGATTTATTAGCTGAGGTTCACATGGATGCTTCTAAGCCTCCTTCTACTCCACTTCCCCATGGTTTATCACTTGCTGCACATCAAGGGGAACCGCTTGAAGATCCTGAGAGATATAGGAGGCTAATTGGTCGACTTCTTTACTTGAATTTAACTCGGCCTAATCTTACATATTCGGTCCAACAATTGAGTCAGTTTGTTACTCATCCATGCACTGATCACTGGAAAGCTGCTTTACACGTTTTGAGATATCTCAAGGGCTGTTCACATCAAGCTCTGTTTTATTCATCTCATTCCTCTCTTGATCTTCAAGCCTATGCCGATGCTGATTGGGTCTCTTGTAAAGACACTCGACGCTCAGTTACAGGTTATTGTATATTTCTTGGTGAATCATTAATCTCCTGGAAAAGTAAAAAACAATGCACGGTTTCTAAATCCACTGCAGAGGCTGAGTACCGTTCCTTAAGTAGCACAGTTCATGAACTTCAGTGGTTGTCTTACAATAGTTCAGAATTCCGGGTTGGTCTCTCTCTCCCGATATCTCATTATTGTGATAATCAGGCAGCCATTCATATCTCGGCAAACCCGATTTTTCACGAGCGCACTAAGCATCTCGACATTGATTGTCACATTGTGCGAGATAAGTGCAAAGATGGTTTCATTGAGCTGCATCATGTTTCTACCTCTTCTCAACTTGCTGATATATTCACTAAGCTGCTACAAGGTCCTCGATTTCGCTGGTTGCTGTCCAAGCTCGGCCTGGTGTCTTTCATCCCAAGTCCGGCTTGAGGGGGGGATGTTTAAGATGAAGCATGCCCACTTCTGTTTTTTTATTCTATTTCAGTTTTTCCTTTATTTTCTATTTCTCGTGTTTTACTTCAAGAGACGTGTTTCCTTTTTCCTTTTGTTTTTGTTTATTGCTTGTTGTGTTTTAAAGACACGTGTACGGTTGTGATATCTCTCCAACGACATTGTTGTTGGGCCTGAGATATTTGTGTGTCTTCGTCTTCAGTTTGTTCTAGACTTTTGTATTTTTTTGATTAATCGTCTAATGAAAATGAGAGGCTGATTCTCTCGCAAATCCCGAGCTCAATTTTATTTTCGCCAATTCACACCCCGTCCCCAAAAATTGGGATTATTGGAACCACTGCAAATCCGCCATAAAAGGCTACTCCCATAAAATTAGAGTGGTTTTGTATACGTATTTCATTACCTGTTATCACACTGAAAGCTTCCGTTGGATCCCCAGCGTGCCCTTCCGAGTCGCTACCTTCTCATCGGTGCCCGTGCTCGATTATTGGAAGGAAGAAAGTAAAGAAAATTATATCTAGAGCCTTATGGTGATAACAGGCATCTCCTCTCCAGCATTTTTGTTTTACAGAAAGGATTGCAAAACCAGAAAATCGCGGTTGATAAACAAGGACTGCAGAGTAATCGAGCCTTACTTGGCTGCCAATCAGTATATGGAGTTCACGAATGCAATCGGGCTCGAAGGGAAATTCTACGCCATTAGCCGGCAGGGGAGTCTTGCTGTAATCGAATACAAAGATGATGATGATTGCAGGGATTATGAGATTACTTGCTTGGGAAAAAACCGGGCAGTTCATAAAAAAGCTTCGAAACACTTTAGGGAGTACTTGATTGAGTATAAAGATGAATCTTTTTGGTTCTTTTGGTGTCAAGGGGTTCGGTTGATGTGGTGGATGATGTTGAGGTTTTCAGGCTAGATAAATCGAGGTTGTTTTGGGAGGCAGTGGTGGAAAAGTTGCCGGAGGATGCGGTGTTTTTTGTCGAGGATAAGTGTTGTTTGGGGATTCCGGCGAGTTTGTTGGGGTGCAAAAGTGGGAGCAATTGCATTTACTTCACTCACAGTGGAGTCGAGTCTTGGTTTCATTTCGACATGGAAACGAGCTGCATTACGGCTACAGACGACCCGAACTCGATTTTGATCTTCTGATCTGATAGATGGTTCTAATGATCAAAGTGTTGAAAAGTTTTGTGGTTTTGTTTTTGAGTCTTTGCTGCTGATGATGCTGGTTTCATGTTTGCTTTTGTTTGGACATTGGAAAAAAAAAAAGATTCCTACGGTTGGATCTATTAAAATTTCGGTTGGATTTTGACGATTCAAACGACATATTTTGAGTGAAAAACTTATTCCAAATGAAGCTATCATTACAAAAACAATGTCATATTTCAACTAAAAATTCTAAGGTAATATATTTCAATGGAAATTCTAACGGATATTCCAATGGTATAGTTTCTGTCGGAATGATTACAACGAAAATTCTAACAAAAATATTTCGTTTGAATGAATTTTCCATTGAAATTTTAGATGAAATTAATTATGACTATTTTTCCACCGTATAAATTTTTGCTGGAATATGCAACTATCGTTGAAATTTTTATTTTCACTCATGTTTCAACGTTGAAAAATCAAGGATTGAATCGCCAAAATTCAACGAAAATTCCAATGGACAACTCATTCCAACGGATTTTTTGTTGTTGGAATTTCCGTTATAATCCATTGAAAATTCCAATAGAAATAATAGCGTTGAAATATCCATTGGAATTGTTGTTGGAATTACATTATAATATATTTTCGTTAGATTTTCATTTTTTTTCTTGTAGTGTATATCATTAGAATATTCGTTGAAATATATTATCGTTGAATTTTCTATTAGAATATGACAATTTTTTTATTTTTTTTTTGAAGTGAGAGGTCATTTACTGATTTTGAACAATTGTTTGGCCCATAAACTAAATTGATTGTTGAAATTGATTGATGATGGTGTATTCGTGTTGTCGGTAAGTTAGAACTTCAGTGTTTTTTAATAGGAATATGACAATTTTTTTGTAGTGAGAGGTCATTTACTAATTTGGTTGTGCCTAAAGGCGTACTCCCGAGTTCAATCGTACAATGTTTTAGCTGGTTGTGATCAAAGTGTTATTAGATTTTTGTCCTTGTTTGGAGTCAGCTAGTGCAATTTCAATCACGCCTTTAGCAGTCAGCCCCTATGGGTCTTACTCCTAAGACAGGGTCAAATATTCGTCAGGTGGAGCTGATTTCCTAATGTACGGCCCCTAGGGGTTGACTGTATGCCTTCTAGGGATATGATCGAACAAATGATTTCATGTAAAAAAAAAAAAAAAAATGTTTTATCAATGAGTCATTATTGGTTGATGATGAATTACCATATCTGATGATGAATTGCCATATTTGTTATTGATTGATTATGAATGTTCAATCAATGGGTCCCTTGATCAACTACTAAACTAAATCTATTTTGGAAACTCATATTTTCTTATATTTCCCTTTTTTAACTCGTATTTTGTAAAAATTTCAAGATCTTGATGTCTTTTAAGGGTAAATAACAAATATTTAACAACTGATTGTGGAGATATAGAGACCAGACTGAATTTGTATATGCTTGGTTCGGCCATCTTAAAAAATTTGCAATTATGGTCGATTCGATTGTGCATTCATAACCTACTAAAAAAATAATAGAGTCGTTTGGAAACGAGTTCGACTAAACTCGTTCGAGCGACTAATTATTCAAGCGTGGCTCGTTTTAGTAAGCCAATCTCGAGTTTTTTATTAGCTGCTTTCGTGAACAACTTAGTTCGAAATACAAGGGCATCTGCATTGGCACAAAAATGTGTCATTTAAATGCCAATGAATTCCATTTAAACGAATGCATGTCATTAATTTGATGTCAAAACTAGTGGGGCTCACATTTGTTATTCATTCCATTGAATAACATTAAACAAGAAAATATGAGGCCAAACTAATTAAAAAATATTATTTATCTTCCACTTAGTTTTAATTTATATATTTTATTTTTTTATTGGACCTCACACCATTTAATGTTTAAGTTTAATGAATGTGTAAAAGTGTTTAAATGGAAGAATGTTTAATGGAATGATGATATGGACATGATGTAGAAAAGAGAAAGTGAAGTTGATGATTAAATGAATGAATCTGATTTTGATGCCCCGAACACGGGTGGGCTCCAGCCCGGTCTTAATTTTTCGACACATTTAAATAAATACTAGTAAAAGATATTTTAGCCCATGTTATATTAGACTAGCCACGGATTAATCTTACTAGTATTGATCCTGTGCATATGCACAGAAATTTAAATTATTATAACTTATAAGTTACGTGTATGTGTATAATTATAAAATTATAAGTTAAATAATAGTATAACATTTTAAAATTTTTGTCGTTAGTAAAAATAAACATCATAAAAGCATTCAAATTCATCACTATATTTATTATGTAAAATAAAATGGATAATTATTCTTCATTAAATTCAACTAATTAATATATTATACAATCTTGCATGAAAAACTTGAATTTGAATGAGCTGGTGTAAAGATCTCTATTATACAATATGACTTTTCTTATATATATTTTGCATTGTATCTGTAGCATATCAATACTTAATACTTATTTTGCATGTGAATAGTCAACATACAAATTAAATAAATATTTATAACCATTTTGAGGGCTTAAACATTATCTCGTAACCATGCAACAGTTACATTCTCAAAATATACAAAAATTAAAAATGGTAATCGCATTCAACCGTTAGAAATCCAAAATATAGTAAAAAAATAGGTGGATGATTGTAGAGAATAAATTAAAATAAAAAAAATAAGTTGTAACGGTTTTTGGATGGAGGTAATAAAAAAATTTATTAAATGCAACCTATTTTTATTAAATGAACTCATATTATTATTAATTGAAGGCTGAATAAAATTAAATGAAACTTGCCAACAATTATATATATATATATAGATTTTGGCCCAAAATAAGTTATATTTATTTTAGATTAAATAATTATATATTTGAAAATAATTTAAGTCTCTTCTCGTTTTTTCCTTTTAGCTCATGATGTCGTTTTCGTCTTCTTTTTGTGTTTACATAATATTATTTAGTTAAATAAAATTTATTTGAATAATTTATTGGAGATAATAATTGCTTGTATTAGACTTCTACTAAAATATTTAGTATACGGTTGAATTTATTGATTTTACAATTTAGTTATAGATTTTTTTTCTGATTTTTCAAATAATGATATTTAGTATATAAAAAATTTAATACCAAGTCCCATTCATTTATGTGGCATATTCAATGAAATGATATATGAACCTTAAATGACATGTCATACAACAAGAATAAAAAGATTAGCTTACCGTCTCGTGGCGGTCTTGCTAATAAATATATCATTTTTTCTAATTAAAATTCAAGTATATGAGAAAAAATATCATTGTATTTAAAAAATAATAATTAATTAAAAGTTATGATTTGTCATATATTTAAAAGAGTAGTTAATATAATTCACAAGTTTTTTTAAGAGGTCCATATAATTGATTTTTATTCTTTAAATGCAACATCTATATTTTAATATTATTTAATGCGCGATTCATGTAATTCATATAATACTTCAAATTGTTTTTACACTTTTATTTTTCTTATATATGAGTCTAGCTAGATTATTCGAGTTAAGTGTTTCATGTTTAACATTGTGTACATTTAATAAATGTGTTGCTATGACTAAACTCGTTCAATAAACAAATAAAAACGTGAGCCCGAGTTCGGACTGTTTAGACTCGGTTCGAATTGTGTAACAAACTTTTAAATCTCGACCAAAACCCAAAATCTAACCGAGTCAATTGCAAACACGTTCAACTCGACTTGTTTGATAGAAAAACTCGATTAGTTGTTTGACTTTAGCTCATTTAAATATACAAGTGAATTGAGTTCGACCTTTCACAAGTCGAATCGAACTATGTTACTGATAATGCTATTAAATTAAACGAGTCTGGCTCGGCTCGTTAAGGCTCGAGTTCGGCTCGGTTTGTTTGATAAACGAGCTGAACTCGAGCTCATTTAAAGCTCGTTTGGTTAACTAGTTCGGTTTGATTCGACTTGATAGAATTTTTATATAATTTTCTGTAGCTCGACTCGTTAAAACTCGAGATTGGCTCGTTAAGGCTCGAACTCGACTTGTTATTAGTGATAAATGAGCCAGGCTTGAGCTCGATTTCGAGCCCGAGCTCGAGCTTGAGTACCTTAAGCTTGAGCTCGACTCGACTCGTTTACAAGCCTAGTTACCAGAACAACGGTTTGCATGTTTTGCGGTCCAGGGTGAAAAAAATTCTAGCTATACCCCTAACCCTAAATGAAGGAATTTTGTAGAAAAATATACTCTCTCCTATTTTTAATAAATGTCATTTTGAGAAGTTGCGCAGTAATTAAGAATCATTTTTTTGCCAATAATAACTCTCATTAATGAGGATAGAGATGGATGTTTTGAGAAAAGATGAAGAGTGAATACGAAAAGACAGTAGTGTATTTATTAAGTAGATGAGAGTAATAATGAAAAAATATATATAAAAGATCCAAAACGATATTTATTTAGTAAATTGTTAACAAAGTCAAAATGACATTTAAAAAAAATAAGAGGGAGTGCTACGTTTTAATTAACTTTTATTGAAAAAGAAAAAAACATTTGTATTGCGATTTAGGAGTTAGGACCATGAAAATTCGTGTTTTATTGTCGAACCGTACGAACGATTCGCAGGATTTTGTGGCGGCCGTTACTTGGAGTCTACGTGATAAACCCTAAAATTCCCCAAATAAAACTCCCCTTCGATTGCATGTGCAGCAAAATCCAATCGCAATTCGCAGGCGAGGTAAAATTTCACACATTCTCCTCTCAATTTCTTCTGTTTTTCGCGCTGATTTTTCTGTTTTCGAAAGAAACAGAGTATGGGTTTGATGAAGAAGAAGACGAAGAAGAAAGAACGAAAATCATCCCAAAATAAGGTCGGCGGACAGGAACAACAAACGCCGTGGCTAAATCTCCCCTTCACCGGCTACGCATTTCGGCGGCGGCAGAAGATCATAATGGACCACATATCCGGCGCCGGCGGCGTCACCAAGTCATGGGTCCAATCCTCCCCTTGCAATTTCAATCAGCCGTCTAAACATTGAGCACCGCCGCAGCTTGTCCAAATCAACATCCCTCCCGACATCAAACAAACCCCCGTCCCCAAAAATTGGGATTATTGGAACCACTGCAAATCCGCCATAAAAGGCTACTCCCATAAAATTGAAGTGGTTTTGTATACGAATTCCATGATCTCTTGTAACGGTAAAGACATCCGTTGGATCCCCAGCGTGCCCTTCCGAGTCGCTACCTTCTCATCGGTGCCCGATTATTGGAAGAAGGAAGGTAGAGGAAATTGTATTTTGAGCCTTATGGTGGTAACAGGCATATCCTCTCCAGCTTTTTCGGTTTACATAGAGGATTGCTACACCAAAAAATATCGGTGGATAAACAAGGACTGCAGAGTAATCGAGCCTTACTCGGCTGCCAATCAGTATATGGAGTTCACGAATGCAATCGGGCTCGAAGGGAAATTTTACGCCATTAGCCGGCAGGGGAGTCTTGCTGTAATCGAATACAAAGATGATGATGATGATGATGATTGCAGGGATTATGAGATTACTTGCTTGGGAAAAAACCGGGCAGTTCCTAAAAAAGCTTAGAAACACTTTAGGGAGTACTTGATTGAGTATAAAGGTGGAATCTTTTTGGTTCTTTTGGTGTCGAGGGGTTCGGTTGATGTAGTTGATGATGTTGAGGTTTTCCGGTTGGATAAATCGAGATTGTTTTGGGAGACGGCGGTGGAGAAGTTGCCGGAGGATGCGGTGTTTTTTGTCGAGGATAAGTGTTGTTTGGGGATTCCGGCGAGTTTGTTGGGGTGCAAAAGTGGGAGCAATTGCATTTACTTCACTCACAGTGGAGTCGAGTCTTGGTTTCGTTTCGACATGGAAACGAGCTGCATTACGGCTACAGCCGGACCCGAACTCGAACTTGATCTTCTGATCTGATAGATGGTTTTAATAATCAAAGTGTTGTTGAAAGTTTTGTGGTTTTGTTTTGATTTCGAGTCTTTGCTGCTGATGATGCTGGTTTCATGTTGTTTTTGTTTGGATAAAAGGAAAAAAAAAAAAAAGATCGTTTTTTGAGTCAAGGTCTTACAGATTGTTTGGTGGTACATTGATTTTTATTTTACATCAATTTAGTGGGGAAAAAATCGGTTAGAATGTTTTAAATAGAAAAGTCCTTTACAAATACAAAATTTAAAATATATTGACTGATTTTTTTAGAGGGAAAAATAAATAATAAAGCGAGGTCATATGCTAATTTTCAACAATAATTGGCTGGTAAATTGACTGGAAGTTGACTGATGATAGTGAATTCGTGTTGCTAATAAGTTAGAACTTCATGTTAAATTTTCAACCTGTCGAAATTATAAAACATATGTTCTGTTAGGATCTATCAACACATTTGATTCTTAATCTTAATCGGTTCAAACACATTATTCAATCCCATCAAAAATTGCATTAACTTAATTTCCATGTCATTTTCAGAGTCTTTCCAGAACCACAAGTTCAATCAGGAACAACCACCAAACAAGCATATTCATCCCGAGACACTTTAGCTTTGTGTAATAGCCAGAGAGTTTACCTTGTGAAAAGGTCGCAATCTCCTTCTGCAATTGGTAGCACAAAAGACCATTAATTTCACCGTACGTTTATATTAATTTATCCCATAGCTGCTTCGAGCTTTTCACATAAATGAATGTCTCAACAATATCTTTTGAGAACGAGTTTAGAAACCATGAAATCACCATATACTCGACTTTCTGAAGCTGTTCATACTCCTCGAATTCGAGATCAAGCACGGTTATGGTTCCATAAACAAACCCGAACTTCGATTTTGCTTCTAGAGCTAACCTCATCGCATGACCAATGTAATTAGTTAGATCTAGTGAGCTAATTTATCACAAGCACCAGTTCTGGGTGGTCTGAACCGTGCAAACGTGAGTGAGTCGGAATCACGTGCATATCTAGTAATCGCGTCTTCTTCTTTCTTATCCATGTTGCGCGCCATTTAAGCCTGCTCTGGTGCTCTGGTACCTTGAAGAGCTAAGAAATCATCGCCATTTACAAAGAGAAATAGGGGCGAATTATCTATAATTTTATTTCACAAAAAACTCAATCAAGATGACCATGCAGTCTTTTACATGCAGTCTCACACTAGCGGTACTAACCAATGCGAGCACGACACGTGCTAGCCAAGCTGGCAAGAGAAAAGAAAGAAAAAGGGAAGTGTTTGTATAAGTAAAACGAGCCTATGCTTATGAAAAGAAAAAAAATAAATAAATAAACTTTAACCTGCTAACCAACTTAACTAACTATAAAATCATGGGAAAAACAAGGAAAAAACTTAACACAACTCACTACAATTATGGCAAAAGTAAAAAAATATTTGGTCAAAATACCCAATTTTCGAAATTTCAAGTGGAACCAATCAATATGGGTCAAAATTGCAAAACCATTAAATTAGTGCACACATATCTTCCTTGGTGGCCAAGGCCAAGTCACTAGTCCAACCCTGCAAGTTAGCCCGATTAAAGAAAAGTTCGTCCCTCAAAGGATTATGCTTGGATGCCACGCGAAAAACCCCCATTAAAAACCCTCCATTTCTCTTCATACATCACAATCAAGCACAACAAAGGTACATCATAATTTCCTTGAGCTGCCCTTCATATCTCGAAATTTTTCCATTTCTTATTTTCGTTTCTTGATCCGACCTCTGTTTTCGAGCAGGAACAAGGCAAATGGGGGACAAGAGGATGAAGAAGAGAGAGAAAAAATCATCCCCGAGAAAGGCAGCCCCCGGCGGCCGCCGGGACGTCAAGCCGGAATCCGAACATCCGATCCTCCCAATCACCGTTCGTGAAAAAGACAGGCGACGGCGGGAGATTATACGTGTCAACAAATCGGGATCGGGCGTGGTCACCAAGTCATGGGTAGTCCCATCTTCCTCCTCTTGCAACCTTAATCAGCCGCCGCGTAAACATTCGTGGCCTCAGCTTGCCCTAATCGACATCCCTCCCGAAATCCGAACAACCAACGTTCCCGGAAAATACAGCCTCAAGGGTTTTTTCCATCGACGCCAAGCGAAATTGTATTCTAGCGATAAATTTCTCTGGGGCCGGTACTATTACAATCTCTGGTCCCCGGACTACAGTCTGCGCAGTGACAGCAGTGTCCACTTCAGACGCTGCCTGAGCTCCGGCGGCGCCCAATTTGTTATAACCGGCCTTACTTCACCGGCTTTCGCATTCCCTAAAGTAGTCGAGGAATATTGGGTCGACAAATTCAGATATCACAGGCGTTGGGTGTCGATAATGAAGAACTGCACGGTTATCGAGCCTTTCTCAACAACCGATCATCAATACATGGAGTTCACAAACCTTACCGGGCACCAAGGGAAAATCTACGCCATTAGCCGGCAGGGCAGCCTCGCGGTTATCGAGTACAGTGAAAGTTCAACGGATTACGAAATTACCCGTTTGGGGAAAAACCGAGCTGTCCCTAGTAAGGCATGCCGGCACTTTAGGGAGCATTTGTTCGAGTACAAAGGTGGAATCTTTTTGGTGTTTTTGCTGTCTAGGGCTTCGGTGGATGTGGTGGATGACGTGGAGGTTTTCGGGCTGGACGAGTCGAGTCTGTGTTGGAAGAAAGTCGAGAAGCTTCCGGATGATACTGTGTTTTTCGTGGAGGACAAGTGTTGCTTGGGGGTCTCGGCGAGTTTATTTGGGTGCAAAAGTGGGGAAAACTGCGTGTACTTCACGTACGAGAGGGCCGAAAATTGGTTTTGTTTCAACATGAAAACGAGCCGCATTTCGGCTACAGAGGAACCGGTGGATGATCTTGATTAACTCAGTTAGTTTGAATTTTCCAGCTGAATTTCATATAATGTTTGTTTGAAAGTGGTGGCAAAAGTTTCATGCTTTAGTTTGAATTATTCGAACGAGTGAATCATGAGGATTTTGAAGCCAAAATAGTCGTGGAATTGAAACAGAGACGATGAAAACTAAAACTAGCTCATGCTAACATTTGAATGATCGGTGATCATGACTTAGGGAAAAAAACACAACTTTCCTAGAAAAATCATACTTTAGATGATTGGCAAGTGACTTTTCTGGCTAATTAAATGATCTTCTTAATTAATTGGTCTAAGATTCCTTTCTTCTCCTTGGCCTCATCACTTGGTGTAAGATTTTCGCATGTGGATGAAGTTTCATTTTGCTCTTCAGTCTTTTTGTGGAGTTTCTGCTTCATTTTTTCAAAGAAACTTTTCTTATGCTCTTCAGTTTGTCCTTCAGCATTTTTCTCTTTCATTCACATCCTTTTTTCCCTTTGTGATCACGGGATATTCTTTCCTTGATCGTCTCTTTTATACCCTTTTTCTTCTTCTTCTTGTTTCTTTCTCCACCCACTTCCACTTCCTCATCGCTAGACTGAAAATAGTTTGTACCAAAAGTAAACAAAATTTATAATTAATACCAAATTTTACGTATCTCGGTTGAAAAACTTAATTGTTGTTATGAAAGAAAGTCTAAAATCTTAGAATCAAACTTACAGAGCTCGAGTGGGTATGAGTACGTTGAAGCTCGTCCATCAGAGTATGTTCTTCCCCTTTGCTTTCTTTAGTAGTGTTGCTGAGATCATCCTCTGTCATGACGACATCGTCTTCAGTTTTGTTTTCAATCTCTGCCGTTTGTTTTTGGCACTTGCTAGAACTTAGATGAATTTTGGAGAGAGAAAATAGAGTGAATTTCAAAGTAATGTGGCAAAGCTTGTCACTTAGTGTGGATTGAGTTTGTGTGAGTAAGCTTTAATTGGATTGTGTACTCTTTATATAGAGGTGAAACTTTATCGAAGGAGAAAAAACGAGATGCCAGATGTCGGCCAATGAATGGATAACACGGAGAAATGTCGGTTTGGATGGCTCGAAACACTTACCAGGTAAGATCATGGCTTTATGCTAAATTCCCCCAATTTTCCTGGGTATGAAAAACGTTTTCTTCCTCGAGCTGCATGTTCCTGCCATTTATCTCGCCAATTTGATGAGCTTCTTTGCGCTTCGCGGAATCTTAATTCTCTGGCCAGGAACTAGAGTTCCAATCAGACGGATTTAATTTCGGAATTGGTGATATTTTTTTTGGGGGGGCCCACTGATGCGAATTGAGCGCACACGAGACCCATATCCAGACTCGGGTGTCAACATTGGGTCAATTACCGGTACAAGTTTTAAATCAATGACCAAAACAACTCGCTATAATTATCATATATATGGCAAAAGTGTTAAAAAAAAAAAAAAAATCCCCAATTTTCAAAATTTGAAGTGGAAACCAATCAATATGGGTCAAAATTGCAAAACAATTAAATTAGTGCACACATATCTTCCTTGGTGGCCAAGTCAGTCGTCCAACTCTGCAAGTTGGGTCCGATTAAAGGCCAAGAAACAAAAGTTCGTCCCTCAAAAGGATTTTTTGCTTGGATGCCACGCGAAAAATCCCCATTAAAAACCCTCCATCATAATTTCCTTCAGCTGCGCTTCATTCTCGAAAAATTTCCTTTTCTTATTTTCGTTTCTTGATCCGACCTCTGTTTTCGAGCAGGAACAAGGCAAATGGGGGACAAAAAGATGAAGAAGAAAGAGAAAAAATCATCCCCGAAAAAGGCTGCCGCCGTGACGTCAAGCCAGAATCCGAATGGCCGAGCCTCCCAATCACCGTCGGTGAAAAAGACTGGTTACGTGTCAACAAATCGGGATCCGGCGTGGTCACCAAGTCATGGGTAGTCCAATCTTCCTCCTCTTGCAACCTTAATCAGCCGCCGCGTAAGCATTCGTGGCCTCAGCTTGCCCTAATCGACATCCCCCCCGAAATCCAAACAACCGACGTTCCCGGAAAATACAGCCTCAAGGGTTTTTTCCATCGACGCCAAGCGAAATGGTATTCTAGCGATAAATTTCTCTTGGGCTGGGACTTTTTCAATCGCTGGTCCCTGGACTACAGTCTGCGTAGTGACAGCAGTGTCCACTTCAGATGCTGCCTGAACTCCGGCGGGACCCAATTCGTCATAACCGGCCTTACTTCACCGGCTTTCGCATTCTGTAGCAAAGTCGAAAGACAATACCTCAGCGACGGCCGCATTGGCACGCACTATGAGTGGGTAATGAAAAACTGCAAGATTGTCGAGCCTTGCTCGACAACTGGTCATCAGTACATGGAGTTCACGAACCTCATCGGGCTCGGAGGGAAATTCTACGCCATTAGCCGGCAGGGCAGCCTCGTGGTTATCGAGGATAAGGATGGTTTCAGGAATTACGAAATTACCCTTTTAGGAAAAAACCGAGCTGTCCCAAGTAAGCCATGCCGGCACTTTAGGGAGCATTTGTTCGAGTACAAAGGCGGAATCTTTTTGGTGTTTTTGCTGTCGAGGGCTTCGGTGAATGTGGTGGATGACGTGGAGGTTTTCGGGCTAGATGAGTCGAGTCTGTGTTGGAAGAAAGTCGAGAAGCTTCCGGATGATACGGTGTTTTTCGTGGAGGACAAGTGTTGCTTGGGGGGCTCGGCGAGTTTACTTGGCTGTAAAAGGGGGAACAACTGCGTGCACTTCACGTACGAGAGGGCCAACACTTGGTTTTGTTTCGACATGAAAACGAGCTGCATTTTGGTTATAGATGGAACACTAGTACAACGTATTACATGGGTGGGGCCGATACCTCATCCCGAATCGTTCATGGACGAATTTATAAAAGTGAGATGGGTATCCGGACAAGTCAAATCCAAGACCGTCCGGCCCGCGCCCGCCCTTACCATAAATAATCAACATATTTATAGATAATCTGAACCTAAATATATTTGCATTAGAAGTAAATTAAATCTACTCAAGCTTAATAACGAAGCATGTAATTTTGACACATAAGATCTCGAAGAATGCGAACCTACCACATAAGCTTAGCACATTCTGAATTAATAGATAGGGGGAATTGGACGATCTTCCGGCATCGGATTGATTAACTCAGTTAGTTTGAATCTTCTAGCTAAATTTTCATATACTGTTTGTTTGAAAGTGGTGGCAAAAATTTCATGCTTTACCTTTTTGTTGATTTGTGCAAGTATGTGATACATTTATTAGTAGTTTCAACTAGAAATTGATCATGAACTCTCTAACAAAAAGATATTTATTAATGTATACTTTATTTGAAAACTTTTTACATATATGCATTAATTGCTTTTATATACACATTTCCTAATCAATATGATAAAAAAGATTCTTTCCTTGAATAATTTTACATAAAAAATATTCTTTCCTTGAATAATTTTATTAATATCTGCAATAATTTTATTGATATTCATTATAATATAATAAACTATAATTTAATTTTTCGTGATTCATGCTGATAATATTTTGGCCAACATAAACATAAAAACAATTTTTAAGTCCTAAACATATTATTATTTTTTTCTACAAATGTTGACATTCATCCTAAAATATTTGTAAATGATCTAACATGTTAAATAATTTTCTCCTTCTAACTAATTAGGCGAAATCAAGTTGGTGAATTAATATTTTTTATAATATTTTTTAATCTTTATTTAATTATATAAAAATAAAAACTTTACCTTTAAGGGATAATGACTACATCATTAAATAATTTATTAATGTCTATATAATAAAATAAAAATTTATTAACTATTCTTTACAATTTCAACATGTGATTTATTTGTATATTATTGTCAATCATGATAATTTTTATTATTTTTTATTTTTATTTGTTTCCATAATGAATTTATGTAAAATATATATTTATATTGCATATTGTATTAAAAAAACTAATAAAGCCTACTTCTATAACCTTTATAAATAATAATAATGACATTATATGACACCAAATATTATAATAAAATAATAATTGAGTATTATATGATGAACAAGAATATATGTATATTTTTTTATCTTTTCTTCTTATATCGATGAATAAATATATATTGTAAAATTATATTTATATTAATATAACGTCTTAGTATAATAATATATTAATTAACACGTTAACGTTATGGCTAAATAAACATCACTGATTGAAAGAAGTGGAAAATTGATGATACAATCCTATTGTTTTTTGCCTAAACGTACAAACCCTATGGAAATGAGGATGCACGGGCTCTGCACTAGTTTGTTTTTGTAATAAGATCTTATTAGTAACAAAGCCACTATGGGTAAGATGAACTGCATTTATCTTTATGGAACGAAAAACTTAACTTAATTTGTTCGACGATCTTGAGTCATTAATTTTGCTATCTTTACAAGGAATGGTGTTTTTACATTGGAAAGAAGAAAATCCGGAGTTTTATTCCAATGGAATGAACTTGCCAATCCCATTTGTAAGACTTTTCTATTGTTAGAAAATGATGAAGATGTTTCGAAACGAGTGAATCATGAGGAAATGGCTGTGGAAAAAGACCTGTAAAACTTGAAGTGAAACAACTCAAAGGGAACAAGAAAAGATTAGACTTGAACAAGAGACGATGAAAACTAAAACTAGCTCATGCTAACATTTGAATGATCGGTGATCACGACTTAGGGGAAAAAAACACAACTTTCTTAGAAAATCATACTTTAGATGATTGGCAAATGATTTTTCTGGCTAATTAATTGATCTTCTTAAGGTCCTCATTTTCATTGTTCTTGTGGTGTCCGGGCAACTTGTCCCTGATCAGTTCTCAAATTCCTTTTTCTCCTTCACCTCATCACTTGGTTTAAGATTTTCGTATGTTGATGAAGTTTCATTTTGCTCTTCAGAGTCCTTTTTGTGGAGTTTCTCTTTCATTTTCTCTAAGAAACCTTTCTTGTGCTCTTCAGTTTCCCTTTCAGCATTTTTCTCTTCATACTCGTCATTTTCTCCTTTGTGATCACCTGATTTTTTTTCCTTGACAGTCTCTTTTATACCCTTTTTCTTCTTCTTCTTTTTTTCTCCATGCTCTTCTTCCACTTCTTCATTGCTAGACTGAAAATAGTTCGTGCCAAAAAGTAAACAAAATTTATAATTAATACCAAACTTACATAACTCATTCAAAAACTTAACTGTTGTTATGAAAGAAAGTCTAAAATCTTAGAACCAAATTCTTATGGAGCTCGAGTGGGTATAAATACGTTGAAGCTCTCCCCATCCTAAATCATTTGTCTGCAAGTGATTGTTATTTTATTACTTCTTCCGAGGTAATGCGCTAGGATCGGCTCGTTGTAGGTAGGGCTGCACACGAGTCGAGCGGCTCGCGAGCCGCTCGCGAGCGTTCGAGTCAAAACTCGGCTCGAGCTCGAGTTTGACCGAACTCGAGTCGAGCTCGAGCCTATATTTTACATTGTCGAGCGGCTCGCAAGCGGTTATATAGTAAATTACTAAAATACCCCTTATATATATGTAATTTGACAAAATTGTTTGAAAATTTTCGAACCGAATCGAGCTCGACGAGCTCGAGCAGCTCAAGAAAAAAAATCAATCCTGCTCGATAAGACCAATGCTCGACTTGGCTCGACTCGTTTGCAGCCCTAGTCGTAGGCACGCTCGGCCTGGACTCTTAGTTCTCTTGTCTGGAGTTCCGACCAGACCGTTTTGATTTCCGAATTGGTGATATTCTTTTGGGGGCCCATATCCGACACGAGTGTCAAACACTAGGTCAAGTAGCAGGACAAGTTTTAAAACTATGACTAAAACAACTCACTACAATTATG